GTTTCATTCCGCAAACCAGATTACTAGAATATTCCACTCGATCATTAAAACTACAGTACAAATTATCATCCGAACAAATACTTGGTGGCTTTTATTCTATTAACTTAAAGAACTAAAGATCTGTTACCAGGCAACGAACAGGGCCGTAACTAGCTCAGAGCAACGAGGGGGGAGGGGGTCTCAGGGGTGCTGTAAAATTGACGGATAATGTATATCTATTTTTTTTATGGTCGACAATTTTTTCACCGGGTGGGGGTGGGCGAAACTTTTTGCAGGTTACGGGCCTGGCAACGAAACATACGCCAGCAGCAGCTAATGTTAGGTTCCCACTATCACGATTCGCGCTACGATTGAATTCATGGTTTTAATCGTGGTGATCCTATCAGGTCGTATCATATAGGGTGTCCCATGCAGCCAAAATTTACCCTACTGAAAGTTGAAATCGACACGGCGAATGTGCACGCTTCAATGGCTTGTCTCGGAGTGATTTCTAGCTAGTCACGCTGTGCGATAACACCCAGCAAAAGAGTCTATGAGTCTATCGCACGTGAAATTCTCTACACATCTATCAACTATATATAGCCGTAAAAAATCTATTGTTGACCATTCTGAATAGCAGTAATATTTAGCTTTTTGCTTATTACAGCAGCTTTAGAAATTACGTTCGTCTTATTTTTTAAATTGCTTTATCATTAACTATACCGTTAGGAGCGACATCTTTTGGTTTAGTACAATAATATCTCTGAAACACTCCGGTTAGGCAATAACATGATACTAGCAGTAGTTTCATTTTACTTTTACAAGATTCTTAAAACAATTGTTGAGTTGCCTAACGTACGTGTTTCTAAATTCAATTTCTTGCTCCAGCTTTCTATAATGTTCCGTAAAAATATAATCTTGATTATCCCGGCTTGTCAGTCAGGCGGAGAATGGTGAATAGACTGGTTAAGGGCACTCGTAACCATTTTTCAGTCTATTATTTATTGATGGTTAAATGGTCACAGCTTATTAAGTGCAACATGACCGTTTATTTAGTGACTATAAATGTGTGAAACCGATTTAAGGCTTGGTATATAAATATCGTGGTGTAATAATTGTCGAGATATTTGGAGATATTTATTTATGGTGGGGCACCCTAATCATACATCGTGGCCAATCGTAACAATCGTGTTGATCGTATCGGAAGGTATCCGAACATATCTGCACGCACCAGATCGTGAACTCAATCGGGACAATCATATCGTAACGCATCGCACGACAGTGGGAACCTAGCATAAGTAGGGTGACCCACCATAAATAAATATCTCCATATATCTCGAGAATTACGCCACAATATTTATATATATGCCAAGCCTCAAATCAGTTTCACACAATTATAGTCACTAAATAAACGATCATGTTGTACTTAATAAGCTATGACCATTAATCATGTATAAATAATAGACTGAAAACTGGTTCCAAGAGTCGTCCATAACATCCAGACACTTTTGAGTAAAAGATAGGTTACGTGCCCTTGTTTTGAAATTAGTCTCGCTTAACCAGTCTATCGACCATTCTACGTCTGATTGACAGGTCGGGATAATCAAGACTACTTTTTTACGAAACATAACAGAAAGCTAGAACAAGAAATTGAATTTATAAATAAGCACGTTAGGTAGCTCAACAATCGTTTTAAGAAGCTTGTAAAAGTAAAATGAAACTACTGCTAGTATCATGTTCCTGCCTAACCCGAGTGATTCAGAGATACTATTTGTACTAAACCAAAAGATGCCGCTCTTAACGGTACAGTTAATGATAAAGCGATTTAAAAAATGAAACGAACGTAATTTCTAAATCTGCTGTAATAACCAAGAAGCTTAATTTTACTGCTATTCAAAATCGTCAACAATAATTTTTTTACGGCTGTAATAGTTGATAGATTTGTAGAGAATTGCACGTGCCATGGCTATTTATAGTATCATACTGTCAGAAAGTTGGTCTCGGCACGGCGAATGTGTACGCTTCAGTGGTAGTCTCGAACTATCAGCGGTGGACTGTATATCTGTGTGTACATGGGTCACCCTAGCATAAGTCTTCCGAGAAGTTCGATTCATTGTCTCTCTTATCTGAGAGTGGAGAGGGTGATCAACGGTAGTAGATCTAGAAATCATTACCAAAAATCGCCGACGCACCAATACAATTAATGTTTAGGATTTTCGAACAGATATAATTATAATATATGTCGCGCGGAAGCTTACAAGATTCTACAAAATTGAGCAAGAGCATTAACCCTGGAAGTTAGTATCGGATATCGTTGAAATGACTTTGTTCTACCAATTTGAGAAATGCATAGAAATTTCAAGAAGATTAGATGATAATATTCATCGTTAAAGCGTTCACAAAACTCTAAAGCATGAGTATTTTCAATAACTCTGGAATTTATCATCGAAAATAGCCGAAATTTGATATGCATACACGAATTTTAACAAGATTGGGTAATAAATATAGCCTTTAGATTGTTTGTAAGAATTTGTGAACAAGACCAGCGGACCGACGGCAATATACAACCACATTTCAATGTGTGCATATAGAAAATAATGCAAATATCCTTATACTTTTATATGAATCTCAGAAAACTTTTGAAATTTGGTGGGAATTATGAAACAGAATATAACTACTTTTGTGTCCAACTCTTTAATCAAGCGGCAAATCGTACCCTAAGATTAATACAATCGACAAATTCGTACCCTGCAGAAAGTAAATCAATATTCTGCACGGGTCCGTTTATATCGCAGTCTTGTGTTTACACGATAACCATACCCGGCGTTGAGAAAGATTCAATGCTTCAGTCAGGGTTCTTAAACATTGATGAAAATGTCAAGATATTTTTGCTATTTTTGAACGACATCTTGTCTGTTCTAATCTTTAAAAAACAAATAGAAAGCTTTGATGGTTGATATTACGTTGTCAGGGTAACCAAATTTCTCATCAAACACAAAGGTGAAAAGTAAGACAGAAGAAATGGAATATGAAAGATAGGAAACTACTTCTTAATAAAATAAACATCAAACTATGGTCTATTGAAACAAAAACTATAATTAGAAAGAACAGATCAGAAATTAATCGTCCATGTCTCCTACTCAAATTCTTCTTTTTAAATATAGAATTAACACAACGCCAAGGTATACAAAACGAGAGGGTTATTGCAGACAATAGAGACTTTTTGGCAAGCGTAAATTCCTGGTCCGTATCGCGTATCCGTATGGATTTTGCGCGAGACGTCGTCAATAGAGACTTTTGGCAAGCGTACATTTCTGGTCCGTATCGCATATCCGTATGGATTTTGCGTGTGACGTCATTAATGTGTGTGTATTTCTCATACATGATGCGGCACACGGATACGACAGCACGTATCGGACAGCTTTCATACGGAAAAGGTTCGTATATAACATAGGCTAAGTCTGTTCCCCAATCCCATTCAGACATCCTGAATAAAAATATTGTTTATAAAAAAAAAAATATAACATTGTCGACTTTTTTGCTACTTTTAGACGCTGAAATGTTGTATCATAGCGTTTTTATGAATCTTTGTGTATTCTAGAACACGAATGTGTATATTTGATGGTTGATCTTACGTGCTAAATTTAGGGAGGCGGAACCTTGCAAATCTGAAAATGATTTTATTCTGTGGTAAAGGGGTATAAACTTCCTGAAATGATACATTAGTGAAACCAAAAATTACAGTCGAGTCGAAGTCGAAGATTTTTAATAAGATTCGACACAGCTCATCGACACATACGTACGCGACTCAAAAATCTGCCCAAACTCTATAACTACTTTGACGCAACGTATCACGTATACGATACGGATACGTGATACGGAGGGGAAAATTCCGCTTGCCAAAAGTCTCTAATGTGTGTGTATTTCTCAGGCGTATCACGGCACACAGATACGGCAGCGCGTATCGAACAGCTTTGATACGAAAAATGTCCGCATATCATTTTTACCGTCTTTTTTGCTTTTTTAGACGCTGAAATGTTGTGCCATAGCGTTTTTATGAATCTATGTGTATCCTAGAACACGAAACTGCATTTGATGTGATTTTAACCATTATAAACATTGGAATTTAATCATTATTTTTGATGAGTTTTTCTCGGTATTTTCACATTTTTTCTGTCTGCCTGCATGCTTGTTGATCTACGTACGTACTAAATTTAGGAAGTGCACCTTGCAAATCTGTAAATGATGTAATTCTATGGTAAAGGGGTATAAATTTTCTGAAATAATAATTATTGAAACCAAAAATTGCTGTCGAGTCGAAGTCGAAGATGTTTTAATAAGATTCGACTAGTACTGATGGCTGATCATGCTGTAATAGAACTAAGCTCAGCTCAGCTCAGCTATCTATACTCATACGTGTCGCAAATGCCAAAACTCTAAAACTACATTGACGCAATGTATCACTTGACGATACGGATACGTGATACGGATGGAAAAAATTCCGCATGTCAAATGTCTCTAATTAGAAATACCTAATGCCGTGTTCTATTATTATGTTCTTGTCGATTTTGTTTAGCGTGCAGTGCCGTCCTCTTGCACTTACTATTGAAGTGTGGAATTAATGGCGAACCATAAAAAAGACACTCTGAATGCCAACATCATTTTTGTGGGAAAAATACGGCGTTAAAATAAATAACATTCTAGTTCGCGACTGTAACAAAAATTACCCTTTGAATGCAATTCTCATGACCTCAATAACACATCAGTCGAACGCAGATTTGATAATGAGCCACCAAACTCGTCCGCAGTGGATCTTACAGGCATGGCAATAGTGTAGCCTATGTAATTAGGAAGGGGTAAGCATATGAATATTCATTGGTGATAAGTTGACTCTATATAACTAAACTCATATAAAGACATGGTTATCACAAGATAGCGTGCTTGGTGCAGAAAGTAAGACTTTAGGCCACATTCACCGTGTTTTGATCATAGAAACACAGAAATATAGGCTTATGAATTACCTGTTTAAGGCACATAATTCTAAAATCTTCCGTCTCTTGTCGAAGTCTCATTATTTCTTCTCGGAACATTTTCCGACATTCTGCCACCGTATCCGTTTTATCTTGCTAAAACAGAAAAATACATGACATACAGAAAATGATCTTCACTCAAGGTACAATTGATAAATACTAGAACATTAAATCAGACTTACTTCATGTTTATATTGACAGTTATCTCTTATATTACAACTTGCTCTCAAAATCAATGTTTTAACAATGTATCAAATATCTACTGTAAAGAATGAAAACAAGAGCATCGCTACCGCTGCAATATACCTCCACATTCCTGCTTTGATTGATAAGGTGCATTCTAAAATGTAGAGCATGATATATGAAATTGCTGCAATGACTGTAATATGACAAGAGGCAAAGAAGGTTATCCGTTGTTGTTTGTTTTGCCTAATTTACATATACTAAATATTAACAAAAAGGTGGGTGTGACACCGCCCCAGTGGGTCGGGGCATGTACCAAAATAAATAGTTGCTGTCTTTGCGGTATAAGGAATAAATATGCCAAGCTCCACGATGATCCATTCAGAATTACGGCCCGTAGTAGACGATAAACACAAAAATTAGGCGTGGCTCTCACATGGGGGTTAGATATGGAACAATATAAATAGGTACAACTATGTTATTGAAATGTTACCGCCATTGGGCTATAAGGAATAAATATGCCAAGTATCAAAAAGATCCATTCAGAATTACTGCCAGTATACGATAAACACAAAAAATGGGCGTGGCTCTGCCCCTGGGAGTCGGGGCATGCACCAAAATCAATGGTCCTTAGGCTATAAGGAATACATACATATACCAAGTTCCAAGATGATCCATTAATAAAGAAATTAAGTTTGCCAAGTAAAAGTAAATTGGCTTATAGTTCAATTTTATTTCAATAATTCGCTTGCGCGTAGGGGTCTTTAGCAGTAGGGGAGGGGGTGACTGGAGGGCCCTGAGGATACCCACGAGGCTGGAGAGGCGACCCTACTCCTTGTCACGTACAACCGGAGAATCGAAACCACGCCAGTTGAATCAATGACAGACCTTATGATACAATGCGCACGCGCTAACCATTCGGCCACCCACCCCCTGCCCTCCCCACCCCCTGAAATGGCTGATCGACTACTTTTAGTAAAGTTTCGTATGGGTAGTTAAATATCAATCCACGGCATCTCAATGTTGATCAGTACTTTAAATGTTAAAATTTAGAGAGACGTTCTACCGAATATATTATTACTTCCTATGTCATCAATTGACTTTTCACAAACATCAAAAAATGACGGCCTTTTAAATAGAGTTCGAGAGAGAAATGGGGTTTAACGTCCATTCGTCATCCTTTTAAATAAACAGAACCACTATTAACTAATATGCTTAATGGCTTCATAAGTTTTTATCATATCGTTTCCATTACGGGGATTAAATATGGGATTTCCACCATCAGATACTGATCAGACCTTATATTACGTAAGGTGAAATGATTTCCTTTTAGAATTCCCTTGACGGAAGACATTCATAGCCTATCAACATAATGTGAATATAAACAGGAAGATGTGAAGTTAAAGGTTTCGGGTGTCGCTTGTTGTAATAATGGAGAGGGTTTTTACATCGGCTAAGCATGTTCCCCAATCCCATTCAGATATCCTGAATATTAATATTGTTTTAAAAAATGGCTATGGTGTCTACAGCATACTATGTGGAAGTTATACACCGGAATATACAAGCAATTTGCAGTTTAGATTCGGGTCTTCTAAATCGAGCAGGGAGGGTGGGGGATGGCCGACTGGTTAGCACGTGCGCGCTGTATCAAACGGTCTGTCATTGAGTCAACTGCCGTGGTTTCGATTCCCCGGTTGTGCGTGACAAGGAGTAGGGTCACCTGTCCAACCTCGTGGGTTTTCTCCGGGCCCTACTCCCCCCCCCCCCCGCTAAAGACCCGTACGCGCAAGCGAATTATTGAAATAAAATTGAACTATGTGTTAGTTCCGAAATGACCTAGTTTGTGTCGTGTGGACATTAAACCCCATATCTCTCTCTCTCTCTCTCTCTCTTTCTCTCTAAATCGAGCAGACTGCAATGCAATGGCGACATCCAAAATGCATTGTTTTGAAGGGTTCATTGACACTTCTAATACTATGGCAATCATGTGAACATCAATTCTCTATTTTCTATTAAATGCTTAAACTGTTTATTCGCTATTTCCATAAAGCCAGGCGCAGACGGGCAACTTTTTCGAGCAACTTTTAGGCAACAGCGAAATCGCTGGTCGTTGAAAGAAAAAATCGCTCGTCTGCGCCAACGGGCAACAATAGTTGCCTGCTGTTGCTCCGAGTTGCTTCTCGTTGCCAAATATCAAACATGTTTGATATTCGACAACAGAAAATCGCTCGTCGCCGAGAAATTGTTCATCTGTTGCTTCAAAATTGCTCGTCTGCGGCGGTAGGCGACAACAGGCAACAAGCAACTGGTTAACTGTCCAATCAGCGAGAGCTCTACTGTCATGTGATACTTCAAGATGGAACAGCTAACAACATTAACATGGTCCGTGGAGATGGAAGACATGCTTCTCGTTGCCAGTCAGCGCACACGGGAGACCTCGAGTTGCCAATTGCTCGGAGTTGCCAGTAGTTCCCTATTGCAGCAACAAGCGACGAAAAGTTGACCGTCTGCGCCAAGCTTAAGGCTTACTTATAGTACTGATTTCTGCGTCATGTCGATTTTGTTGTTATCTGGTATAATATTATGGCTTGTTACGCTTTGTTTTAATTGCAATAATGACAAGTGAAAATCATTCACTTAATCTTAATTACATCGTGTCGTTTTCAATATCTCCATGGTGATACTTTGTGGTTATGATATCAATATTAAATAAGTTTTATTGTTTATATTAGCAGTGGAATGCCACATGACTGCTGCCTCTTGCTATTGGAAACATATCAATCAACACAAGGAAATTTGTTAAATGCATATCACTGTATCTTAGAAACAATACAATAAGTGTTTCGTAAACAGAACAATGGATAAACCCACGAGTCTTCGATTCTTGAAGAATTGCTGCCGCAAAGAATGAATTATTGACATACGTTAGAGGATCTGATTCCGTGGAATACCCCCTAGGGTACGTAAATCCCCAGTAGTCGTACCCCACGGGAGTTATGTAATGTAAACAAAAACTAGTGCCAATCGAAATATCAAGAAGCGTTCAGAGATGTGTACAATCGCATTCTATGGGACATTTCATCGAATTAACGCTTCCATCATTTATCGTCGGAACTTTGTCTGATCAGATCAAATATGTAACGGGTCGGGTACTACTACAAGAGACATACCTTATTTCTGACCCCTTTGTTTTTAGTAAGCATACACAGTATCGCGAAATGAAAGCAGTGAATCTCCTATATTTTCATCATGGAGGAAGGGGGTCACATTGTACACAGACCAAATTCATTACAAGATCTTCAAAGGACAATTTCAAAAGTTTCTCCAAATTCTATCCAAAGAACAATTATGGAGTTTATAGGGATGCTTATCTTAGAATTGGTCGTTTTCAAAACTAAAAATAATGCAATTATTTCCAATACTGTTCAGAAATTCGTGAAATATTGCCCTTCCGAAAGGATGATATCGTATTTCTAAAAGGCCATTGCCGTGGTCTTTATGGGAATTTTGCGAATACGTAAGGCCAATGTAAATATAGGTGTCTAATCAGCTAATTACCCAGACTCTGTATATAGAATACAGGTAATCATTGACCCCACGTGTTCATTAATAAAATATATGAACATATATTTATAAATAAGTAGTTGGTCTCTAAGGATTAACACCTGGTAACAAATGTCGTTTGATATGAGTCGGTAAAAAACAGTAGATCAGAGGAATCAAGCACCCTTGACGGACAAGTAATTTTCTTGAAAGGATTGGTATTCTGCTATGTAAAATGGAGAGTAGTCTACACACGCGATATGTTCCGTGTAGGTATCCATTCCCTTTACCTTAAAATGTATGTTTAATATTAATGATTACAAAGTATTATATATACATGGTAATAATAGCTGAAATTAGTTTCTGAGTTGATGATTTACCCGATACTTTGGTATTTGGTATATGAAGGCAATAATTGAAAATCTACCCAGGATGATATAAAAGGCTATATTAGAAATAAAATTCTAGCAGAAAAACTAACCCTGTAATATTATAATCTACCAGTGACGGGCGCAGAATATTTCCACGTTTCACAGAAACAGAATAATAAATGTGTAATTTATAGTTATTAGATATTATTAAATAAGCATCAAGATTTCCCATTTGGCTTTCATCGGGGCCTCATTGTTAGTCGTGTTAAAAAGCTGTCAGTCGTTCGGATCAGACGAAAAACGGAGTTCCATCGTATACACATTGACGTGCATGTAAGAAAACCATATCTGGAATTGTTGCCCGGAAAGAGTACGCTCATAACCCACTGCAATGACTACATGACTGCATTATCGCTTGAAGGTCCGCAGGATTTTTACTTAAATTGATACCAAAGGGCGTAATGGAGGCTCGATTGCATTTCGGACACATGTGAAAATATGAAAACGCTATTTCGATGGAATTTTCTATCTCATTTTAAAAGTTATTCCCAATATTGTGATGGAACCTACCTTTACACCACGTACCATACTACTGATTGTCTTTATGGAAGACCGACTGTCTTTATAGGCACCCTTTACGTCACTTGTATCTTGTAAGATTTGTAATATATCACTGTCTGGTTCACAAAACACAGTCTGTTTGGGGTAGTTACTATCCGTCACATTAGTTTTATTTTCATTTTCGTCCGTGTCATTTTGTTCACGCAAGGAATCCATGTCAACCTTTTCACTAGCAGACACACAATTTTTGTTTTCGTGATCACGAGACGAATCATTCGTCACACGTTCGGTTGTTTCCTTATCACAGTTTGCCTTATCACTTACACCACAATCATATTCGTATCTTAACGTATCTTTTTGATCAGCAGGATGCACTTGCACCTGAAACGGTTCTACCAATCGATCCTGAGCGAATGTCACAGTTTTGTGTCTTGGAGACGAAACACTTCTTTTGTCGAAATCCGAATCAAGACCAACACTCTTTGAACGGGAACAAACACTTTTCGTTCGAAGTTCACTCGAGGAAGATCTGCCATCTTTCTTAAAACTCTCCATATCTGTTTCTTCAGCTGCTGCTTCCAGTTTATGTCGCGATTTCTTTTTCTTGGATTTCTTGCGCTTATCCTTTAATTTAAAAAGGAAAGACAATAACAAGGATATGAAAGTGATATGAAACTGAGTATAAAGTATCGTAAAATAGTTGTGGATTGTTTTACTGTACTTTATCCAAGATGATACTCTACTGGAATGTAGGCCTTTCGTCACCTATACACATTTCCTTATAAAAATGAGTTTTAAAAATGTAATTAGATGTTTGGTACTGTATCCCTTTTACGCCTGTAGATTAATTTAGTATGGACACTGAAACCATATACACAGATATATATATATGTATATGTAAATTTGTAAACCTAAATAGTATACTGGTTGCCAGGATATGACCTATAGTCTTCTATTAAGGTAATGGTGATAAGAGTCCCTGTTGCGGAAGCCAGTTATGATCGTTGATTTGCTTTTTATGTGCTAAGTTACACTCCCCTGTGTATGAACTAATTACAAGATTGCATTATTATTTAATCTACTGGCGGAAAACCACTACATTGGCATTATATTCGTTAGTAGTTGTACAAAAGGGTGCGTTATTGGTTGTCTTGAGACCAAAATATTCATCAAAATTTATTGGTTAATGGGTTTCAGGTTTCCCTGTATCCGTTTTTGTAAAGTGACCATCAACTCTCTCAATGACAGGGTTGTGGCTTGAATCGATACCAGGTTTGGTTTGATGTGGGTTTGCCTTACCTCCAAATATGAATCAAGGCGTGTGGATTTCGCCATCTGTCTTCGTAATGTTTCTTTATACTGATTCATGGGTGCCTAGAATTATAACATATTTATATAAAGGAACCAATATTCAAAACTATACAAAATAAAAAGTAGTCTGTCCAAAAGTTATTAAAATTGATCAATTCATCTGAAGTTCGTATTTCTTTATATCAACAAAAAACGAGGTCAGAATAGTATGCTGCTTTTTTTTTCGAATGCGTCTACAGACAACGCTGTTCAGGCCTTTGTTAATTAGATCAGGAAAATGTTCATTGGCCGTGTGCTGCAGCTCTTTAAGAAATAATCGTTTTTAAGCTTTGCAAATTCACCAAGAAAATAAACAAATTAGTCTGAATTTATATAATGATGAGAAGTTGTACTTTATCGGAACGTGTGGATATGTTTGACAGCAAGAGACCGGCATGAGATTTTATTATCATCCAATATCATTCCTAAATGAGAATTTCTTCGATTAACGATTGTTGTGATGACTAACTACCGTGAAATATGGACAATACGGATGGACTGGGAGTCTAACAGTATTGTACCCAGATAATGTGGGCGTTTTATATATAAAAAAAATAGTCTATCAAAATAGTGTATCTGGTCTGGTTTCGTTCCGTTTGTTTCCCTTCCATTAACTCAATGCAAGTGAGTCATGATTCTTAACATCGATTTTAATCTAAATAATCGATATTAACTTTTTTTGAAGGGCAATAAAACAAACACGGTAGATCATCTAATGTAAATATGTCCTAAGGTGGTATATTGTTGTTACGTACGTTTAGATAAATATTCTATGTGATGGTCTAATGGCGTTCCATAGTCACCCCGAAGAATACCTCGTAATCCCGATACTTCAGCGATGATTGGCCGAATCAATCAATCCATCTGAAAGCGGTATGTGAAACATGGGCGGGTAAATTGACATAATGCTTCCGCAAATTCCAAGGTTGTATTACACAATATCTATTCGTAGTGATTGATTGATAGAAATATCAACCATGACACACTGCAATAGGCCGTCAATAAATTGTTAATAAAAAAAATTGTGCAAACCTCCAAACTTACCAACCCAAGTCTTACATAGCAATACCATATGTTATTACAGAAAACAATATAAAAAATAATGAAACATTTCCGGATAAATGAAAACAAAGCGGTAAAGCACAAATGATTTATCTCTGTTTTAGTATATTTGGTCACTCTTATTTTCAACCATTAATTCAATCTCTCCACTTATATCTTTATTGACAAATATTTTGTTTCCATTTTGCAAAGATCAAATTTCTTTTTTATATGTCTTCGCGACAGCAGGATCCGAAAAGTTGTTTAAATAAACCGCGTTCTATTTGATATGGGAGATTAGCCAATAAAAACTTTTGTTCTAAGGAGCTGTGTGCGACCTGCAAACGGAATTATTAATAGCTGCACTCCATAATTTCTTCTTTTTTTATTGTTGTGCTTTGATGTCTAATATTTTTTCAATGCTTAAACTGATGCCTTCACAACAAAAATACTGATAGTAAAGCATAACAATAAGACAGAAAATCATTTATTATTCTGAACGTTTTATCCCTAACATTATGCGCTTGGCGATACTTTCCAATCACCAACAAGGAAACGATCTTTCCAGAAGAAAAATATTTGAGCAAAACTTGTAAATTATTCAAAACAGCAGGATTAGAGCTTGTTGCCTAGTAACTGGGTTTTCCCATTGGAGTAAAGAATGAAGAATGACAACTATATAATAGGCAGCACCGCGCATGACTGATAACCATTCTGGCTTGAATCCACGGCTGATGGAAGTTTATGTTCAGCAGTTCTGGTTACCCCCCACAGTTGACACAGAATTTCAAGCAGAAAGCTAGTAATAAGCGTTTTTATATCTACAGACATCAATAATATCACTGAAATCTGTTGAAGAGTCATTTGTAATTTTACAATAAAAAAGCAACCTCGTCATCACAGCAGTCTTTTCGAATTTAAAGAAAGTAAAAAAAAAGCAACCTTGTCACCACAGCCGTCTTATCGAATTTAAAAAAAGTCAAAAAAAGTTCGCGGATATTAATGCACCCATGCTTTAAAACATATCACATCTTCTACTCATGTTCTATCACAATTCCATAGTTATAACAAGGATAGTCAGGTATTCTATGGGATATTTTGGGTGGAATTGGACTTCTATTGGAGCGACAACTATAAATACTGGTAGGACCGGACAATGAATCACAATGTCCAAATTGTATATATTGATACTGAATGAAGTGTATATGCCACCCAGTCAGTACAGCGCAGCATTCATTTCAGTGCTTGCTGTTTATGTTCAAATTCCAGGTAGCTACGAGAACGTAACTAAAAACGTTGAGATAATATACTGGTGTATTTGTTTTCAGCTACAATTGGGTGCCTTCAGTTTCACCTGGCAAGCTCATTTCGTTTTATTAATACATGTAACATCTTAAAAATAAAATAATTTTATTCTGTTATGACTAATTAAACTCACAGAGGCCAATGCAGTGATACAACTATCGCCTTAACTCCAAATATTCGCGTTTAAATTAATGAAGCGTTGTTTTTTATCCAACTTGAAAACGCCATCGAAATCCATTGTACATGCCTGGTACCTTACATCTAACCTTGACTGCATGACGGTAAGTGATATCATGGGCCGTAAATACGGTCCATGACGATACATAGCTACACCCATACAATATGTGATGGGGATACCTGTTTATTTATTATTAAAACTTAGAAAGAAATTCTCAAAATGGCGTCGTTCGAAGAGTGTGCGGAGCTTTCATTGCAGGGTTGTTGGGACCGGAGTTATAATAACAAGCAGCGTTTCAAAATGGCTTCCTAGTGACGGCTTACAACGCATCGATTTAAAATACGATGATTTGTACCCATTTAAGGTAGGTTTACATGCTTAATTGTAATTGGGTGTGGTAGAAATGTTATAAATGATGAAAAATGTTGTTAATTGCGCTTAATGAATCCCGGTGTTATTCGCGTCGGGGACTGCTAGGTATAAAACTATATAGCATCATCTCTTATCTTGAAACACGGAGGGTTGAGAGATGAGGTTTCTTATCTAAGTTCCAGAGTGTCCATTGTGTAGGTTGGACTGGAAGATGGGGCGAAAATGCTACAGTCTGAATACATTTGAAGCAGAATGGAAGATAACAATAATCAGAAATACAGAAGGCCTTTTACGTACCATAACCATAAGGATTTGGACTTATCTTCGATGCTTTAACCTGTCCCTGTGTATCCCAGCACATATCATTGTACACCCCTTCCCCATTCACAACGCACATACGCACGTAAATCAAACATTTTACTATACAACTATGTTGACGTTTCGTGTATGTAACTTTATGCATTCTCCGCGAAACGGACGATGACTCGTCTGTAACTGCATACAATTCCATAAAGAGAACGGCCACATCTCACGTAATTTATCCATTACCAGACCTAGGGGTATTCCGTGTTTCTATTAAGGTGACCTTTAAAGTGATAAAATTCTCTGCACACACAGCAAACACTGTTGCTATATATAGCTTGTTTTATTGATAGAGTATCAGCAATACTTTGAAACTTCCACTCAATAATCGAGATTAACTCAAACAAAATGGCTAATTATTCCATTCACGTTATGTGGCAATGTATTTAAGAATCCCAGCAAGTGCAATAGGGTTCTACACACGATATTAATGACAAAAAATGTTTTTGACAACACGCTCAATCAGATATTATAAAATTACCAATATAACTAAGATAAACTCGATGAAAATAGAAACTTTTTATTGTCAGGACAGCGGCACGTATATCATACTAGCCAATCGATCCGTCACGTTTGTGCTTTGTCCTTTGTAACAAGTTAGAAAAAAGTACACTCCATATTACAGGCCTACAGTACAACCACTGCATGCTAACGAACCCCATAGAGAGAGAGAGAAATGGGGTTTAACGTCCACTCGACACAAACTAGGTCATTTCGGGACTTACACATGGTTCAATTTTATTTAGCAGTGGGAGGAAACCGGAGGACCCGGAGAAAACCCACGAGGTTGGACAGGCGACCTATTCCTTGCCACGTACAACCGGGGATTCGACACCACGCCAGTAGACTCAATGACAGACTTTATGATACAGCACGCACGTGCTAACCATTCAGCCATCCACCCCCCCCCCCCCCCGAACCCCATAGTCCAGTTCATATAATCCGCAGAAAAGGGTAAACTTGGGGATAAATTCCACAACTTTTGGTTTTGAATATCAAATCGTTTCTGTTACACTTAAAATATTTATCCTTAAAGATACATTAGTTAAGATTTTAATAAAGAGTTGGCCATTCTTGATATAACAGTTTAAAAATAGATGATAAAAAAAGAAAGTATGGAAAATTTAAGTCAGATTACTTTATTCTGAACTAAATTATCACTGTTGGAAACATCTTATGCATCAGAAGAATTTGGGCTTAGTCGTAAGCCCATTTAAAGAGAATATGTGAGTGTTTCCAATAAATTTTTATCGCAAGGGAAGATCATTCCAAAATTTGAGTATTTAAGATTTATCAGTTGTCGAGATATGACCACCTGGTCGGCCATTTCTAGGAACACTTCCTTACATTCCTTACAAACTATAAATAAAGAATAAATTAGTTATTTATATTCAATTATCGTAAGCCCCTTTGAGGAGAATATGTAGGTGAGAGAAAGATTGTTGTAACTGCTCGCGGCACTTTAATCAAACAGACTTTTCCAATTTCCATCTGAATCAAATACAGAATCCGGGAAAACACCACAATCATTTACACAGAAAAAAAATACACAAAAGAGACAGCATAAAATTGAAACAGAAACAAAAGCTAGTAGTAACGTTAACAACCGGCATCAATAGAGGTCACGTCCTTAAAAATCAAGTAGGACAAAAACGGGTTTTCTTTCTAATTAAATACAGTCATTTGCTCGAAACACTGAAACCAAATCATTACAGGTTCACGTGTCTCTCTCTCTCACAAGATGCCTTAATTAAGAGACTCTACG